ATATTGAGGAAAAAATAGATTGCTTAAAACTTGAACAACTAAAGTTTCATTCAGCTTTGACTCATTCGGTAAAAATACACGAAGTCATTGCATTATAAGCCTAGCACTTGTAGGTGATACCTTACCATATATATGGACTAATAAAACCAATTAATATATCCAAAGATCACTGATGACAAGTATTTGGCAATTCTCGAAACAGTTGTATGGTTAGCCAAATATTTCAGTTAAATAAGAAAATATCATTTTGTTATTGTAAGATTACCGAATATCTTAATGATTTAATAATCCAAATAAGTAGAAAATAAAAAAAGCAAAACAACATTCCATTTTTGTCGCACAATGTACCTAATTAATGAAATAATAATTTCTTTCAGTTCAGTTTAGCTTCAGATACATATCTATGACTTTTACCTTAATATAGTTAGCTAAACTATTGAAATATGCGTCTGGTATTCTTTTAGTGCAATTAACAAAGTCTTTCCAATTCACCGGCGGTAGCGTGGGATAAATCATTTCATCAACAAATTTGCGTCCGGGATTACAGTATGCAGTCGATACATAAACAAAACTCTGTAAAGAGAACATTCTCTATAAACATATTTAGTCCAAACAATAAATAGTCAAAACAATAGTGACCTTAAGTTGTGGCATTTGTTTGCAAAGCTCCAATAGGTGCCACGTGCCGATTGCATTTACTTGTGCAGCAACTTTGAGCCGCTCATTGAAGCGTACTGTAGCTGCACTGTGAAAGATGACATTAACCTGTGTACAAAGTATCTTCTTATCTGTATTGCTCAAGCCTAGACAAAGCCAACAAATAGGTTAGATATTTAGCAGCAGGTAAGACGTACTCCACTCACCAAAGTCGTCACTCTCTATATTGCCTTTAAGACACACAAGTTTTTCCAAACGTTTTGGCACATTCAAGCGTATGCGCTCAAAGATTTTGTGTTGCTGAAACTCATGAAACCGCGCATTCACACTTTTCCCATTTTTCTCGCGTATGAGTATGTAGATACATCTGACTTGTGGAAAACTCCAAAGCAACTTCTCCAAGAGGGTTTTGCCCACAAAACCAGTTGCACCTGAAAGTTGTTCAATTTACATTGTTTACATATAGAGTTGGTGATGTTGACTATACTCTATCATAATGGATATCACATATTAGTGGTTTGGGTAAGTAATGTGTAGAAAATATTGTTAGTTGCAGGTAAAGTTTTATTTTGGGTTTAATAGCGAGGTCTTCATATCAATTCCTTTTGTAATTCTTTGATTTGAATTTTAATTTTGTTCACTTACACCAACATTTTGGTGTATTTTTGTTGTTCTTTCGAAACACGAAATCGTTTAGTTGGTGGGTTAAACTGGTTCAGGGGCATAGCCAAGGGTCGGATGTTATATATATATAAATAGAAATATATGAAATATAGATAAATAGCTCCGCTATAGACATGGGCATGTTTATGTGCGAACAATTTTATGCAGTAATTTAAAATAGAATAAACAGAATACACATCAATGATTTTTTAATTATAATATTTATTGTAAAAATAATATATATATATAAATATGTGTCGTCTGTTATACATTGAACATCTAATCTTAATGCAAGATCTGTGTAATTTGTATTCTATTTTAGTCGTCATTTCTACTTCTCTTGCAAATCCAAATGTTGGGTATATTTTGCAGTTTGTGATATTTGATTAAACAATAACTTGTCAATCCCGTACTCATTACAACAGGGATTCTAAATTCAGCAACATATTAGTTGCAGATATATTACTTTTACCTCAATGGTTGTATTTGGCAAAACTTATTTCGATGGGTTTCAGATATGGTGACAATCCGGTTAAATCATCACCTTACACATATTAGGACATTGCCATCTTTCTTTTATTAGTTAGATATGTCGTAATATGTGCAAGGTGATGATCATGTTAACGGGTTCCGGGTCCAACCGAAATGATCATGTTTGTACATAAATATTTTTTTTCATGTTCACAACTGTGTCTAGCGGGTGTTATTTTAGCGAATTATATTTCATATATTTCCGTCATCATGGACGGATTTCATAAAGAATTTCTAATTGCATTTCAGCGTCATCATGAAGTATATATAACGAATTATTCGATAAAATCAAAAACATGAAAACATTTACAAACTTTAAAAACTTATACATCTTATTGTTGTATCGATTATAACACAACAATCGGTTGATTGTTGTATTGTAGTAGATACTAACAACTATGTGATGGATAGCATTTCTATTTAGAGAGTGTAAACTGCAGCTTTTGATGACTTATTGTTAACAATGAATAACCTTCGACTTATGTTTATAGTGATCATATAGCATTTCAAATGGTATATCCTAATATTAGAACAAAATAATTATGCGTAATACGATAACTATCCGAATCACTTTATTCTATTTAAGGTTAATTTTACAGAGATATTAAAACTCGAATACTTTTCAAAAAATGTCTCTGATGACAGATACGAACATCCATATAATTTATTCGCTTGGAAAAACATTAAAATTAGTAGATAATGGGCGATATCCACAACAGCTGTATGTACTTGATTCAAAAAATTTTATGGTGAAAATTTGAAAATGTGCTCACTTTTCTATTTGGAATAGATTTCTTGCTGTAGAATCTACAGTTCTTTATTAATAAAACATATACGAGTATTATATTGAAATTTAAAATATCTTGAATGCATGTAGTTCACCTTATGTTCGTTTTTTTACCTATAAAGAAGTTGTTGGTTATATTATTTAAGTAATGTGTAGTTTAGTGTTTTGTTTTTAATTTTTTATTTTTTATTTAAAATATTTGTTCGCTTTTCACTTCTAATGATTTAGAGATCATATTGCACCGTCTTAGCACATTCACTCACCAGTTACAAATATAACAGCATCATCGTAAAAATCTTTCTGCAACATTATGCCGACGTAAATTGGAATAAATTTATTAAATTATATAAATATATTTTGTTACAAATTCAGATTCACTTTCAGCATCACTTTCATTTGTTTCGTGACGAGTGTCCACTATTGCATCGCAGCTCAGACTAATTCATGAATTTCTTCGAAAGAAAGTGAAAAGCATTTGCAAGTGAAATGGCAGCAGGCAGTAGGCAATAATCTTCCAATTCATTGCTCTGAAGCAATGAGATGTCAGGTCTATGTATGCACATAGATGATTTCAATCCTAGTGAAACAAGTTTTAAGAGAGAGCTAAAGAGTAATGTTATTAAACTTATAAACTACAAGTATACAAGCATAATATTATCCAAGCATAGATAATAATATACATATAGGTATAATTTAATCTAAGGCAATTTTGCTAATAATAAAAATAAAAAAATAACTAAAATAAAAAATATTGTAAAGATTTTTGAAATTTTTTGTATATATATATGTATTCATATATATATTTAAATAAATAAAATTAATATATTATATGAACAAAGTACTAGTGTTGCTGAAAAGCTACGCTTTCTTTGTATGGTGACAAAGAAGCTTTATTTAAAATGTAGAGAGTTTTTCGATAGCAAAGAAAGAAATAAAGGACAAACACAAAAATTTATTTTAATTTTTATTGAAATTTGGCTGACCGTACAACGCTGTTTCGAGTATTGCCAAGTACTCTTCATCACTGGTCTTAGAAGTAGCTTTGAAAAAATAAAGAATAGGCGATTTATTTCTTTCTTTGCTATTCGAAAAACCCTCTAAATTAATATATTATTTAATTAATAAAGTATTCATATTACATTTGAGTAAAATTATCAATGGAAACATACCTTCAGGGAGTCTTGTCGGAAGTACCAATTCAATCTAAAGCAATGCTTAATATTTCGGGATCGGCATGCATTTAAATAGAAATTAACCTAGACTTGGTTTTTAAGTCTAAGATTTGATTCAAATCGTAATAATATTCTCTTATACAATTTCTCTTATAGCACTAATTTGGATACACGGAATACAGTTGTGGGCCACATTTTACATTGATGTAAAACTACTGTAAGTCTGGCACTTGCTGTCCAAACAAATTATATACGGACTATAAACAAAAAAAAAAAAAAAAGAATTCGAATGTTTCCTAAGACCACTGATGATGAGTACTTGGCAATACTCGAAACAGAGTAGTATGATCAGCAAAATTTCAATAAATTAACTAAATGTTTGTGTTTGTCCTTTCTTTCTTTGCTATTCGAAACCCTCTAAATTTAAAAAATAAAAATAGCTTCTTTGTCATTATAAGAAACCGTAGCTTTATTTATTTAATGTTACTAGACTATTAAGAACAGTAATTTTTAAAGTGTATCAATCCAATAATCTACTTTTACTCTTTTACTCTTACTCTTTAATTTACTTTAAACTCTTCTGAACTGTATTATTGATCCACGAATTGTTTTATGTTACTATCGACTGAAACTCAAGTTCTTTCACTTATAGTATCAATCAGATGTGATTTTTGAAATTTTATTTACTTTTTTGACGAATTTCATTTTTAGTATTTTTAAAATATCTTCACGAACTCTGTGAACAATAAGCACCTCCACAGTTGATTGTCGCCATTCTAATATATCATATCTAATTATATAAACCAGACACAAGTCTAAAATCTACAGTCATTATGTTAACAATATTTAAATTTATTAATTCGAGATTAGTTTTTAAGTAGAAATTTTAATTTTTAATATTATTTATACATTGTGACCGAAAAGTTTTCGGGAAATTTTAAATAAAACGCAAAATTCTTAACCTTCATCAATATTTATTTTATCTCCCTTCAAAAATACGCTCCATTAGAAGCGATACACAATGCCAACGTTTCTTCCAATCATCAAACATTTTTATAGGCGCTTTCCGGTATGGCTTTGAGTTCCCTCTGCGAATTCTGTTTTACGTCTTCTATGGATTCAAAACGCGTTCCTCTGAGTGGTAATTTGAGGTTGGGAAACAGGAAAAAGTCACACGGTGCAAGATCAGGTGAATACGGTGGCTGTTCGATGGTATTTATTGAATGTTTGGCCTTAAAATCGTTGATAATGTTGAACAAATTGAGGTGAATCGGAACAAGCCGGGCGTTGACACGTCGCATACACAAATTGTCCACCAAAATCAAACGAGCCATCTCACGACCGATGCCTAGCTCTCGTGCTATCTCTCTAACACTCACATGAGGATTTTTGAACACGATTTCCTTTGCCTTTTCAATGTTTTCGTCGGTGGTAGAGGTCGAAGGTCGTCCAGAACGCGGCATGTCTTCGACGGTCGTACGACAGTCCTGAAAGGCTTTGTACCACTCATAAACTTGAGTTTTCGATAAAACTGATTCCCCATAAGCCTTTTGTAGCATTCGCAACGATTCTGCACACGAAATTTCGTTCGAAAAACAAAATTTGATGCAAACTCTTTGTTCAATATTTTTTTCCATTGTTTTTTTCGCAACGCACTACTGAGGTGAACTGGTTTCAACAGCTGCCGTAAACGAACTGTCCGACAGATCGCGCTCATTTTTGGCATAGTAATTAAGGACAGTGCTGCCAAACTACATAAACTTAAAATATCGAAAAATATACAGCGCGCGAATTTTAAATGAGAATTTCCGAAAACCTTTCGGTCACAATGTATTATGTACATTTTACTTAATTATTAGAAAGTGAGTTGGAGTACTTTAATTGTACTTCTATTATTCGTATGTACACTTAAGGATATAATTAAAATTTACGAAAAGCTTAATTGGTAATATCTCTTCTTAACTAATCACAGTAAAGTATATATATAAAAAACTAACAAAATATTAATCAAAAATTTTTTAAGCAGTTTGCCGGCTTAGTTTTAAGTTTTACAATCGCGTATTGTTTACATCACCTTCCACAGTCCAAACAGGTGCGGTTAGTGGTGATTGCTCCTTTTGAGAGGCTGGTACGTTATATGGGACAGTAGGTCTTACACGAGGTGTAAGCATTAAGCAAGTGCATATGCCGCCCAGAATGCTTAACCAACAGTAGGCGCTAAGAGAGAGCGCGACATCGATTTTCTTAAGTACATTTATGAAAGGTGCCGAAAGCAACCATATTCGTGCCCATGTCACTACAGAGAATACATAGGGCACTTTTTTATTGAGTGGCATTACCTCAGCCATACACGCTAAAATCATAGATTGAGCGCATGACACGCCAGCTTTTGGTATAGTAGCTATGATCATCCATAAGGTCACTTTAAGTTTTGGATCCACTGAAATAATTATAAAAAAAATAAAAGTATTCCCAATTTTAAACTAAACTACACCGTATTACTTACTTTCGTCAGCATGACTGAAAGTCCACCCAAGACAACCAATTAAACCTGCCAAAATGTTAAAACCACCAGCCCATTGCCATTTCCATTTATTATATTTGAGTGTGAAATGTAGGGCTAGGAAGCACCCTATTATTTCAGAGAAACCTGGTATGATAAATAATTACTCAAACTAGTACTATATGTTTTCGTATATAATGAAAGATGGCTTACCCATGGCAATTGTATTTGGCACTAAATAATCTCTACCGAATGATCGGATATTAAGCAACATTCCCATGAAATTGATTATGAACGCTGCCAGTGCTAAATGTGCAGCTATCATATGAATTTTAGAACGCGGACCACTCCAGAGTTGTAGCCAGGTTGCAGGTGCTGGCTGTGATTTTAATGTGTCTCTCAGTTTCTCTAATTGTTGACGAAAATCAGGGGGAATTTTGAACGTACGATCATTAATTTCTGCTCCTTCACGCACGATTTGTTCGACCCGATCGATGTCACGTTCGTCACCATTTTTGAGTAGCCAACGTGGTGATTCCGGTGTCCATAATAAAAGTAACATTAATAAGAGGGTGGGAAATGTTATTCCCAAGTAAATATTAGTCCAATGATTAAAAAATGAGGATAGCCCAGGAAGCAATATAACACCAATCGACCAGAATGTGTCGTACAATATAATGGCACCAATGCGATAGAGACCTGCAGTTATATCCACAACTAAAATGAGACATTGTATAATTAAGGATAATTAGCATGTTTTAAGAAATTTTTAACAACTTAAGAAAAATAAGATTTTTGTTTGGAAAATGAATAATTAAATACATTAAATAATTTTGTGAGTGATCTGGAAGTAAACATTATTATTTATTTTTTTCTTGCTCTACTTTGCTAAGAACGATGTAATGCAATACCTCTTTACCCATTTTAGATGGATTATAATAAAACATTTAAAAGAGCTGGTCAAATATTTATAAAAACTATATCATATGTTTGACTCATATCAGAGAATACAGGTAGATTTACCTTACTGAATTAGAATCAATTTCCTTCTTATATTAAGCACATTAAGCCAATTACATAGAAGTACATGAGCTCTAAAATTAAGGTTTTAATATGGAAGAAATTAAAAAAAATGCATACTGAATGGAAATTTTCAAAAAATTCTTTTCAAATTATTTTAAATTTGACAGACACAATAGAACACTATAAGCTTTTCCGCAAATTCCTTTTATAGATATTCTTTAGTTAATGTGTTGGATAGAGTTTTTGACACCGTTTAATTCTATTAATATTAAAAAAATATTCTATACGATTTTTTCTTAAATCAAAGAATAATTTTTAATTGATAAAAAATCTGAAGTAAAAAAATATAAGCTTACAGATTAGTTCCTATTTTTGTTTTTATTATTATGGGTATAGTAGCCTATAGTCTACATATCTATCGACGACAACGTCATACAATATATGAACAAAATTTTAAAATATTTATAAATATTTAATTTATTGTTTATTGTTTATTATTTATTCTTTAAAACTAAAATTATAAACACATTCCTTCTATACTTTCAAGTACGAGTACTGCGTCCTGAGGTAGAACTTAAACAAACTTCGAAACCTCGGCGTTTGTTATATAGACTACTATATAATAATAAAAACAAAATGAATACTAATCTATATGCTTTTATTTGTCATCCACATCAGTCTTTTTTCTTCTTTTTATCAATTAAATATAATTCAAGAAATTACTCCAAAGAGTAATTTGTTGCAGATTAATCATATGGTATATGCAATAAAATGAGGCCACATGGATGGCAGTAATTTATGT